ACCTCCTCTGCTCGTGCTTGTAGGGAGGCAGTTAGACGGGCCAAAGCTACCATGGAGCTGAGGATGGCATCCCAAGTAAAAGACAACAAGAAATTGTTTTTTAGATATATAGGGAGTAAAAGGAAGGCCCGGGGAGGAATAGGACCCCTGCTAAATGGGCAGAAGCAATTGGTGGCGGACAGGGGGTACAAGGCTGAACTCCTCAACGAGTTCTTTGCCTCAGTGCTCCTAAGTGAGGGGCACGACAAGTCTCTCACTGGGGTTGTAGAGAGGCAGCAGCAAGGCGCCAGACTTCCATGCGTAGACCCTGAGATGGTGCAGAGTCACTTGGAAGAACTGGATGCCTTTAAGTCGGCAGGCCCGGATGAGCTCCATCCGAGGGTGCTGAAGGCACTGGCCGACGTCATTGCACAGCTTTGGATTTGTGCATCCTGGCACTCATCCCCTTTGTCAGCTGGACTGACCAACCAAGTGACAGTGAATAATGGCTGGCTGTTTGGATTCCCTATGGCTTCTTTTACTCACTGGCAAAACTGCAGCAGTGGGACCGAGAGAAATGTCCTTGGAAGCTGAACAGAAAGGAAATGAAAAATAGGAATTTCTCTTTGTAATAATTAAAAAAGAATGCCTCAGGTGTATAGAGTTGTAACAGCTCATTAACAAATACCAGAAAAATATTAATAACTAATGTAAATAACCTTCTTTAATGTACATTTTCAAGGCAGGGCTGAATGAAGAATATCTCTGCTTTCCCCGCTTTTTAAACATATAACTTTTATTCAGCTTAGGGACAAAACCCATTCACGGGTAAGTATGCATCAATGTAAGAACATTGCTGATGGCTGCATTAGATCAAAAGTTCCCCAGGCCAGTGGCCAGAGTTAGGCACCTAAACCAGTTTCTGGATTTTGAGTGGGATTTTTAAAACTACTTAAAGGGTTAGGAGTGCAAGTCCCATAGCAAATCTATCAGCTCATGTTTAGGCACTTCTGAAAATGTCATCCTTTTTCCTGCAATTTTAGCCACGTGGTTTCTGAAAACACTGGCATTAATGTTCAGACTGTTTTCTTAAAACACATGTAATGACCAGCATTACAAGGTATTGCTAGCAAAAAGTTCCTGGAATCTCACCACTACTGGAACGTTTGTTTTTCTGGTCAATTTAATGACAGGTTTTACAATATTAAACTGGGAGGCCCCATAAAGCAGACCTCTCAAAGGGATAAACAGCTTTGTACCCTGAACGTCTTTTCTGTTATCCCAACCAATATTCTTCTACTAAGATCTTTCTGCAGGGGCCAGTTACAATTGACCCAAAGTCAGTGGTAGGGTTGCATGTGCGCAAATCTTTGTACAGACATGCCCATAAGTGGAAAGACGATGCTGGCATATCATCACTGACACAGGTCCTGTCAAGGGCTTCACTGCCATCTCTGTACTGGTCAAAAGGTAGCTTTGTTAAGTCAGGCAACGATGCTGCCCTTATTTAAGCACAACGATTTCCCGTTGTGGATCATAAAATGCCGCAAAAAAAAAAAAATATATATATAGCTATAGATATATTATACACAAACATACAAATAGTTAGATAATGATAATCACAGGCCCATTGAAAACCTCAAGGCTGCTCTTTGTACAGCTGCCTGTTTGCAGATGAGTAGGAAAAGGCAGAAAAATCCAAGTCCTTGAACTGCAGCCAAACAAACAGAGAGCGAGAGAAAGGAGTGCTGACACTGGGAGGGATCAACGCCCCTTGCCAACCAAGTTGTCCCCTTCCTGTGTGCGAGTTCCCAGTGTTAGTAAGACAAGCGCAAACTGGTTCCCAGCACCGTGCATGCTAAGAAGGTGGTGCCCCTTGATTAGAGTCACTCCATGATATCGTCCATCTCCTCCTCCTCTTCCTCCTCTTCTTCCTCCTCTATATCTTGCAGAGCCACATCTTGGCCACCAGCCACATGCTCTGGCACCCTGTACTCCCGTGGGAGCAAGTGCTTGTTCATCTTGATGAAGGCCAAGCTCTCCACGCTGCCTGTGGAGAGGCAAGTCCGCCTGTTCTTCACAATGGTGGCTGCTGTGGTGAAGAGCTGCTCAGAGTATAGGCTGGAGGGGGGACAGCTCAGATGCTGTACAGCCACCTGGAAGAGAGGCAGCCAGACATCCCTCTTGAGCTGCCAGTACAGCAGCGGCTCCGCACTGGCAGACATGAGGACAGTGTCCTGCAGGTATCCCTCTACTATTTGTGCTGCCTGGGCCTTGGCCGAATCCTGGGAGGCAGGGGCCACGCTTATGAGTCCAAAGTCCTCCAGGCTGTCCCAAAGGGACCTGCCCCGGTCTGAGGCACTGCCCTCACACTGCTGCTGCCTCTGGCCCGTGCTTGTCTCACTGGTGTCCCGGATATTCTCAGCCACCTCATCAATCAGTCTCTGTGTCCAGCAGTGTAGGCTGCTGTCCCCACTGGGCATGAAGGCAGCCATGTTATTTTTAAACCTGGGGTCCATGTAGGTGGCAAGGATGTAGTGCTCTTGGCTGCGTATCTCCATTATCTGCCGATTGCCCTGCAAGGTTTGCAGCAGGCTGTGGGCCAAGGCCAGGCCAGTCTCGTTACCCTCTCCCTCATACTGCTGCACTAGCGAAAGCAGCTTCTTCTCCAGCAGACAGATAAGTGGGATGGCCTGGCTGATGCCCACATTAGCGCCGCTCACCAGCTTTGTGGCATCATCAAAGGGCCGCAGGATCTGGCAAAGTGCGTGGATGAGGGGCCAGTCACCCGGTGCCAGGTGCAGCCCCCTGTCCCGCTGGGCCTGGGCAGAGCGGCGCAGGCAGGCCTGGATAGCAGCTCGCTGCTCGTAGAGCCGCTCCAGCATGCGCAGGGTGGAGCTCCACCGGGCAGCCACCTCTTTCTTTAGCTGGTGCCGGGGCAGGTGATTTTCAACCTGCAGCTCCCAGAGGAGGTGGCGGGCAGCGTAGGAGCAGCTGAAATAGGTGCAGATCTTCCTGGTGGCTGCCAGGACCCTGTCCACTTCCTCATTGCTGTGTAGGAACTCCCGCACCACGAGGGCTAGGCAGTGCGCCAGACACATGACGTGGGGAAAGCCACCCTCCCGCAGAGCCCGCCTCACACGCTGCCCATCGTCTGAGGCTACGAAGCCTGGCGAAAGGGAGAGGGGTGTCAGCCACTCCCCAATAACGGCCTGCAGCCTCTCCAGCACATGCCGAGCACTGTGCTGTTTTTCCAGACCACACATGAAGAGAGTGGCATGCTGGCGCAGGATGCTGCTGTTGCTCAGGCTCACCCAATGGGCGCTGATGGACATGTAGTCAGTGGTTTGCCCGCTGGTCCACATGTCCACTGCCAGGTGCACCCGGCCACCCTTGCAGCCCCTGAGAGCCTGCAGCACTGAGGCCTTCACTGCCCGGCACAGCTCTGGCACTGCCCTTTTGGAAAAGAAGGAGCGGCTGGGCCCCTGCCAGCGTGGAGCAGCTGCTGCCATCATTTCTCGGAAGCCCTCACCCTCCACATGGGAGAAGGGCAGGAGGTCAAGAGCTAGCATCTTGGCGCAAGCAGCATTCAGTGCGAGTGCCCGAGGGTGTGCCCGGTGGTATTTCGTGCTGCTCTGCACACTCTCACTGACTGACAGGTGGGAAGCGTAGGTGCCAAGTCTCTTGGTGATGGCGGGGGCCCGGCTGGTGCTACACTCTGGCCTCTGCTTTAGTGTGGCACCATGTAAGGTCGAGTGAGGCTCCGTTGCCCCACCTGTGCCAGGCTGCTGCCCACTCAGGTTCTTCTGATGCATGTAGACAACATTGTGGTTGTGTTTGATGTGGTTGCCAAGTGAGGACGTACCCAGACGTTTGGGGTCGGTTCCCCGCTTGACCATCTGCTGGCAGATCATGCAAGTGACACGGGTGGGATCCCCAGGGTCAATGGAGAAGTATTCCCACACCCATGACTTCTGTCGATGGTACCTTCCTGGCCTCGTGCCCTGCACCCTTACCCCTGGCACATATGAAGTAGTAGGGACAACAGTGTGGGAATTTTCCTCTGCCTTGTTATCTGTTATGGCCTCCCTTGGCTCAGGGCTGATCTCCCCCCCAATCTGGAGAGCTTGTTTGCTTTGTTTTTGGATGCTGGCGAAGTATGAGTTTATTAGCACTGGATGCTTGACTTCTCCTTCTAACCCACCAGAGTGTCCCAACCCATCACTGACCTCCTCTTCTCCCTCCATACCCTCAGGGGTGATCGGATCCATGGGAGCCTCCCCATCTACCCCAGAGGAGTAGCCTGAAAATGTATCGCCCCCTGATGAGCCTGCCTCTCCAGCCACGCTGGCTCCATCCTCATCAGCCTCAGCCTTGATAACCTGCAACACCTCATCTGGAATAAAAAGGGGGCCCCCAGTGCCAGACTCCCCAATGATCCCAGACACAGCAGGCACAGATAAGTGGTGTTTCTCTGTGGCAGATTCTGGTGATTGGTGGCTGACAGACGTACCTGGCTGTGAGGACAACTCTAAGGCAGAGCCAGCATTTGGACTTATCCCAGTCATATGGTTAGGGCTTACACGTGGCTGCTTGGCAGACAAGTTCCTCCATCCTGTGTTGCTACGATTGCTTCTTTTCATGGTGTTCCAGTGACTGGTAGAGGCTGTAGGCTACTCTGGGTAGGACCGTGCTCACTACTGATGGTGAATGGGACAGGGCTCCAAACCCCACTGCAGGACTCTGACACTTAAACACTTAAAATGAACCAGACAAGATGCTGACTGAACCCTCATCACACACATTGTAGGCTGCACCTGCATCGTTACACTGAAATCTTGCACCCACTGGCAGCCAAAGTGATCTAGGAATGGCATTTCAGGTAAGGCCAGTGGTGATGTATAGAAGAGATTTTAAAATAATCTGCCTTTCCCTAGCCTTCTTTTCTTGTCCCCTGCTAAGCTGCTCCCTCTCCCTGAGATACTCAGAGCCATAGCAGTCCCCTCAAGTCCTTCTTACAGAGTTATTCCTTTCACACTAGGGGAAACAGTAAACACCACGTGTAAAATCACTGCTAACCAAGGCCGTTCAGAATGGCTATCAAGTATTGCCACAAACAAATTAACACTATGCCAATGAGTTATCAAGTACTATCATACAGGAAGTGGACAAGAGGAATCTGTGGCTTGCTGCCACCAGCAAGGAGAGAGGCTGGATTTGCTGAGTAAATAGTTTGCAGACAATTTCTCTCTGTGCTCTAGGCAGGGTATCAGAGCGCTGCATTTCAGTCCTACCACAGGAGAACCACCTTCAGGGAGGGGTAACGATTGCAGACACTGTGGTGGGTTCAGTCCTCAGACTTTTTGCTGAGATAGAGGATCCTGCAAACATTAAATGCACTGAGCATTTCTGTTGTCAGGGCACCTATCCTATCCCATTTCTAAACGGGTCAGAAATATGCTAATTCATATCGTACAGGCCACTAATAAAATCAAAGGACAAACCCCATGTCCATCTTATCTCCTATCATCTGCTACTCACACTAAGGAACCATCAGATCATCAGTCCCCTTGCCCCCTCCTCCTAAGGATCTAACTGATAAGCAAGTCCTGCATGTCCTTTGTTGGCCAATTATGGAATAAACAACTCCGTCCTCCCCAGCCTTTAAGGTCCTCCAACGATCACTATTTCATTTTGCCTGAATGGGGCAGTGGCACTGGATTCTCCTACAGAAACACCTACTCCGATGGAAGTGTTTTGCACAGCAAGGACGCACACAGCTATGGGTTTCCCTTGCCATGCATTCCCCAGTGTGGTGTCAGTGCCAATTCTTCAAAGATGCTGACTTTCTTGCACTCGGGGCACTCAAAGATTTTCTTTCCTGGGCAAATTCTTGTGAGCCTGAGCTCTGCATAAAGTCTTGCCCCACAGTCAGCACATGTATTTTGCCTCTCTCCCAGATGGGGTTTTCTGGTGGAAAATGACCTTCCTGAGACCTCCTGGGCAGGGAATGTATTTATCTCTCTCTTCTCTGGAGGGTTTTTCTGCTGCCTTCCCAGTCTGGGCTTATTCTTGTCAGATTCCCAGTGGTGAGGATTCTGGGACGCATCCCCTTTGGATCTGCTAGGTGACATCTCATGAAGTCCCTCTTCCTCAGGGCATTTATGTCAAGACTGTCCTCCTCCTTTCCACTCAGGATTCTGTTATCTGTCAGAAAAAAAAAAAATAAAGTCCAAATGTTTGCCGTTCCTTTCTGATATGAGACAGAAAACCCTGGCGAGAGGAAGACCTGTGTCACACTGAAAACACTGCCAGTCTATTTTGAACCATCTGACAGGGCTTACCTGGCATGAAGCTCCATGGAGATGACTTTGAAACAGCATGTTATTAAAGGACAAGAAGCTGAGCATAGATTTACAACCTTTCCCTTCTTCAACATTAAAGATATTTTAGGCTCATGGTGAATAATTAACCAAGCACCACATTTTCTTACATATAACACTCCCCAAAATAAGATACACGCCTTGTTTTTTAAAAGGTAGAATGCCAAAAAAAAGCCATTTTTTCTTGTCGTAAGTAACTAAGTAGCAGCAACTATGGAGCTGGTCCTCAGGGGCATTAACAAGCAGGGTTTGCCCCTTGGCAGGGGTGTGTGTGGGGGTGATTCTGAAGGGAGAGGGGCAGGGGGCACAAGAATCCTACCCAAAACGGTCCCCAGCACCACCACATACCATACCCATTTCTGTCCTGGTTCTTGAAGCAGCAGGAGGATGGTGTTTGTGCTCGGTGTTTGTGGTTTTTCTGCTCTTGCAAAAGCAATGTGGTGGCACTGCTCTTGCTGCTGGGGGTTGGGGACAATTTTGGCACCCCTCCTAAATTGGTGCCTGAGGTTGGTGCCCCTCTCATCCACACTTAGTTATGCTACTGGTTGTCCTGCTCACTGTTCTGCTCCCTGCGGAGCCTGTACAGCGTAATTTTCACTTTTGCCTGACACAGAAACTGCTCTTACCATATTTCTTCACTTTTAATGTGCACCCAATTTCCAGCAGCTGTTTTGTTTTGTTTTTTGGGGGGTGGGAAGCAATGCCCAGCTTTTATCCTCCATATATCTCAAACTGCCATAGAGGAGGTCAGTAACATTATCCTATTTTACAGACAGGAAAAATGACCCATAAAGCAGGAAACTGAGTCATTTAGACTGACTCACTGGCAGACCCAAGAACAGAACGCAGGTCTCTTGTGCTCTACTCCAGTGCTCTATCCAGTAGAAACATTGCCTCCAAACATGATGCCTACTGAATATGAGCTCCAAACATAATGTGATGGCTGAAAAGACCTAAACTAATCGCTGAATAAGAAACCAGGGACTATCAGATTAGAAGTGGTGATATTATTTCAGTATATGACGCTGGAGAGACAAAGAGCCTTGGTACATGCCACAAAATTGGCCTTTAAATTAACTTAAATGCCCTTTTGCATTGCTTTAATGGTGTTGCTGTTTGCGTGTTTGGCGGCATATTGCACTTTAAATGACTTTGGTACCTAGCAAAATAAAACACCTCCAAGGTGTTTTAGTTTGCTACGTAACAAAGTGCAACAGCGCATGGAGCCCTGGAAGCTGATGTGCTTGGGGCTTGCCGGGCCCCGCACAGCTCAGAAGCTGTGGGACCTGGCGGCAGCCCATGCAGGCAGGCTCCGCTGAAGGAAAAAAAAAAAGTGGTGAGCCTGATCTTTTATTCTTTTCCCTCCCCGGAGCCAGCCTGAGCTGTGCAGGGGCCTGGTGCTTCCCTCCACGACTGCGGTGGGGATGGTACTTCCCTCCATGGCTGTGACGCTCCCTGGAACTGCCCGAGCGGGGTGCCAGCAGGTGGGTGCCGCCTGGGGGCCCCACGCAGCTTAGGGACCGCTCAGCCCGTTGGCAGCTCACCCCCCACTGTCGATGAGGCAGGTAAGGATCGGGACCCCACCCTTGTGTACACGCCGTGGAGGTTTAGTTTGTTTTAATTCTCCCTAAATTGAAGTAGTTTTTTTAAAAACCCACCGTTTCAATTTAGGGAGAACTAAACCAAATGAAACCCCTGTGGCATGTACAAGCAGCCCAAGACTGGAAAACTGTTTCTAGGTCTAAGATCCTAGCTTTTTAAAAGGATGTTGAAAACCTGGAAAGGTTCAGAAAATAGTTACAAAGATGATTTGAAATCTAGAAATCCTGGTTTACAATGAGAGACGGAAGGAGCTCCATCTAGAAGAGAAGGCTAAGAGTGATTTGAACACAACCTAGAAAGGCTTGTAGCTTGTCTACGTGGGGAAGTTATTTCAAAATAAGCCAGGGTCAGAAATTAAAACACATCAGCTATACCATACTACGCTAGTTCCTGTATGGACACTCTTGTCTGGTACTAAGGGGGCCTCTTTACAGTTTAGATTAAAACATTTCCAAAGTGTACTAATGCAAAGCACTCAAAGCACTCAAGGGGGCAAAATAAAACTGGTGACCGTCTATAAACTCACTAGGGGGAACCAGAAGGGTTTGGGGGAGACGCTGTTTCCCCTAGCCCCTGCTGGCATAACAAGGAATAATGGGCACAAGTTGATGGAGAGGAGGTACAGATTGGACATCCGAAAAAACTACTTCACAGTTAGGGCGGCTAGGAGCTGGAACCAACTTCCAAGGGAGGTGGTGCTGGCCCCTACCCTGGGGATCTTTAAGAAGAGGCTGGATACTTACCTGGCTGGACTCATTTGAGTCCCGTTTTTGTTTTTAGGGTGAGTGGTTTTGTTTGTGTTTTTTGGGTTGTTCTCCCGCCCTGGCGGGGGGTCGGGCTAGAAGATCTATTAGGTCCCTTCCGACCCTGAAACTATGAAACTATGAAACTGAAAAGTTTCTACTTCGGGGAGAATGAGGATCAGTTATTTCACAATACTACTTAACTACTGCTATTCTAGGCTATTTACCCATGAAAACAGGCACTACACTGATATTTGTAGGGAACATTAATAATAACGATGGCTCTTTAATGCAGCAGACAAAATCAGAACAAGCTCCAATGACTAGACAAATAGGGCCCAAATAGTTAAAATTGCAGATAATTCACCCTTAACAGCAGAGGCACTGAAAACTCATCTATTCAGTTTTTAAATCACCAGAAGTCTTTGGTCTGGATGCAGGAATAGTGCTTACAGGAAGTGCCGTGCAGGAAGCCAGACTAGACAGTCAGAAGGGTGCTGCTTTCTTTGAATTTACAGCTACCTGGTGTCAAATGAGAAAAGGGCTGGGCCTTTGGCTGGTACTTCTTACAACAGTAGCCACACACTAAATTGTATACACTGGCTATACACGCTTCTTCACACCAACTGGTTTAACACTTCAAAATACTAAAAAGAAGGAGGGGAACTTTGAAATGTTCTGCATTTTGGAAAATCAAGCTAGTTATTTGGGTGCCTAAATATGGTGCACATTATCTATGGCATAATGTGGGTTGGTGTAGCTAACTGTTACAGAGAGGGAAACGGGGATTTTTTTAAAAAGCGAAATATAAGAAAATGAGACACTGCTTACTTTGCATTCATCGCTTTTTCTTTGAAGCGTCAGGGATTTTAAGCATATCCCTTATTTTTCTGTGGATAAATGGTTTGGGGGGGGTGTGTTGTTTTGTTTTTTGGGGTTTTTTTTACAAATTCCACGCTGGAGAGAGAGAGAGAATTGCAAAAAATGAAAATGAAGTACACTGTATATGGAACAGCTTCTCTCTCTCACCTTTCCACTCCTCCCCTTCTCAGCGGGAGGTCTGGATCCTGTTTCTCTTCTTAGGGGGGTTGCGCTCTGTAGCTGGGCCAGCCCCAGCCAGTGTCGCCAGGAGCAAGAGCCAGCGTGTGTCAGTGATGGCAGCGTTGGGGCTCACAGACCCCCCAGGAAAGTCATGGGTGGGCTGTATGTGCAGGGTCACTGTCCTGCCTGTCCCTAACGCTTTCCCGGAGGTGTGTTTCCATTACCTGCAGCTAGCTCAGGTGCTGGTGTCAGCAGAGCCTGGGGCTGGTGTCCAGCCCCTGGAGAAAGCCCCTGCTCCCAGGCTGGGCTCGAGGGGCTGGGGCTGGAACAGACCCTGCTGGGGAGCAGCAGCTGCTCAGCCCAGGCTCTCAGGTCACTATGGATGTAGGAGCAGCATCTGACCCGGGAAGCTCAGCCCCCGATGTACTAAACAGATAAAACAGAGAGAAGCAGCCTCCCCTCCCTTAGCCATTGCCAGAGCCCTCTAGCGGCCACAGCTAATGAAACTGTGTCCCTGGGCTCCCCCAGGGACAGAAACACAGAAGGGATCTGGCTAAATCTTGCTCTGCTTCCTGATCACAGAGGTTCCTCCAGGACAAATGAACCAGGGGCAGTCCCAAGGAAATGTACTACTTCCTGCCATCCTGGGGCCAGGGGCCACGCAGGCCCACACGGGTTGATTTAAGTGATCCTCCCAAATCCCAGCAAAATAATAACCTACCTTTCGGCTCATGTAATCTCCGTATCCCGCCTCCCCCTGCTCCCCGTCTGCCGGCTGTGCGAGGAAGCCAGGCCAACGCTTAGTGCTGCCAAGTCCCAAACAGGACATTTAGGGAATGCACCGCAGGTCCTCACGGACATCGGTGGACGCCTCCTAGGCAGCTAGGCCTGCATTCAATTTTCCATCACAATATTATTTCTTTCCATGAAACACGGGTTCTCAGTGACCATTGTCATATTTCAGGTGAAAAGAACAAAAGCAAGTTAATAAGATTCAAAGGGAATCAAAATGGGAAAATGTAATTTTGGTTTGGGGACGGATTTCCCTCTTTATTTTCTCCCTTCCCTCCCTCTCTCTCTCTCTCTCTCTTTTTTTCTCCCAGTGTCTACAAAAGGAGGCAAGGAAGAGAAAGGAGGAGTAAAACAAACAAGGGAAAAACAATCATTTTCTGGTTTTGTTTGAATTCAACCAAAACAACAGTTGTCATGGTGGATTGCATGGCATTTAAAAACTGCAGGAATATTTTAGAAAGAGAAAATCTTCACTTTTCTTTTTAAATGCTGCTTTTTAAAATCAATACTAATATCAAATTCACGTGGCACGTTAAAGTACATCTTTGTCAGAAGCTATTTCCCTGGGCCAGACTTAGTTCTCAGCTGAGCTTATTTTTTTACATGTTTCATTTGCTCGTTTCTCCTGGTCTGCATGGTTCTTGCT